GGTGCAGCCTTGAATGTCTTCAGTCTCAGGACTTCACACACTAAATCCTGTAAATCCCCAAGCGTCCCTGAACCCCCTGCAGCAGCTTGAAGATTTTTGAAATCTTCCTTATGCATGACTAGGGAATTCTTTACAGCAGGCACGCTGCCTGCCAGACTGTATTTGGGGAGCTCCCGTCACCTTAAATCCCTCAGCCTTTTGTACTGGGGGGCACTTCAAAGCTGAGAAGGCGTCTTTCTAACACCTTGTCACCTGTGAGGGAGGACCTATGGAGGCTCGTGTTCTCATTCATCTTTCAGGAGCTGTGTGCCATATGCCCTGCAGACTGGTGCACTTCCTCCCCTGAATGATGTCTTTCGGCTCTCTCACACATCCTCTCGATAATGACCAGGCATAGGAACCACTGGGGAGAGAAGCAGCCCTAGGTCAGCACTGGCCTGTCCCCTGGGAGCACTCCTCAGCCCTAGGTCTGAAGGACAGGACATGAGTTTCAACCCTGGCCTAAATAAGCAGAATGAAATCACACAAAAGTTTCTGTTATGGTTCCAGGCTTTTTGTCCGTCCTAATTACATCTCCAGGCTATTGTGTGTGTGTCTTGTCTTATGTCTGAAGAGGGGTAAATGAAACACTGCATACAAATAACTGTATGATCTCACAAAGAAGGACTCTGAACACAGAATCCCAGTCAACAGTGATGGCGATGCAGAAAGCACGTAGAAGTTACCATGTAGCTAGCAACCACTGTACAGCCCGCTCCACCCAGTACAGATACTGGGTTGGTGATGCATGCCAGCCATTAAGCTTGGTGCTACTGAGCAAAGATGTAACAGCCCATGCTGGCAAGTGTACATGTGAAGGAGACAGTCCTTAGCAAGGACACGCAGTGTCTTCCTGCAAGCTCTCAAAGTGCTGCGAAGAAAGGCAGTGGGCGTCCTCTAGGGAAGCAGGGAACCGCCTTCATTCCTTCAAGGATGCAGAGGCATGAATCAGACAGACAGGTGGTGGAGAACTTTCCAAGCAGGAAGAGTATGTTTGAAGCTTAAGAGCTCTGACTGGATCATAACCCTCCTAGGGCACTAATTGCCGACCAGGCTGAGGTGCCAGGTGAAAGAAAAGGAGAGAACAGAGGGCTCAGGGGCATTTAGAGCTTGGTAAGACCAGGTATGACCTGGCAGAGACTGGAATTCATCTTGACGTCACTGAAAGTCACTGCGTTGTTTATGCAAAGTCATTTCCATCTCTGTGTGTGCGTACATGTGAGTGTGAGTACATGCATGGATGGCGTACATGTGGGAGTCAGGGTCCTTGCCTCCTACTCAGTGTGAGGTAGTCTCTTCAGGGAGGGACTTCCTTCATGCTACAGGAACACTGAGATTCGCACATGCTCTTGGGATCTAAACTCAAATCCTCGTGCTAGGTTTGCAGGCACCATGAAGCCTTGTCCCACTGCCTGTGTGCACTCATTTCTGGGCTGTTAAATGACAAAGGAAAAAGATTGTCTTGTTTTTTAAGACAGAGTTTTTCTGTGTAGCCCTGGCTGTCCTGGCACTCACTCTGGAGACCAGGCTGGCCTCAAACTCACAGAGATCCACCTGCCTCTGCCTCCCGAGTTCTGGGATTCAAGGTGTGCGCCACCACCTGGCTAAGGAAAAAAATCTGAGACAGGATCTCTCACTGCAATCTGGGCCCTGCCGGGCTCCCATCTTGGGAGCCCCAGGTATCCTTTTTCCTTCCCACCTCGCAAGCACTGGGATTACAAGAACATGGCA